CTGTACTACTGTGCCAGGGCACCTATCCCCACTATTTCCCCCACCTTCAAGCTCTACTCTCCGGTACAGGGTCAGGACCTAGCAAAATGATGGCTGCGTATAGAAGGTGCTCAATAAACAACTGAACGAATAATGACAGCACGATTACTACCTGGGACTTGATTAAAAATAAATATTAGGAAAATCATCAACACAATCATTTTGAAGGCTTACAAATATCAGTCATGGACTTACTATTTCTTTTTGCCTGGTCCATCTGAAGCATGGCGATTATTGCAGATTCAATATTATAATTTTCAGCTTCCAGGTTCTGGACTATTAAATTAAAATCCTATCCAAGAAACAAAGAAAAACTTCAAGACTCTGGGTATCCTTCTCTACCTAGCTCTACTTCGACAATCTGATAAACACAAAGATGTAACAGTGAGAACTGACATAGGCTTCAGGACCTTCTCCATCTTGATAATGTCAATTTTCAATAAGGTTGGCCACTTGAAATAACCATTTAAAGTATGTTTATAAATGAATTTACTTTATAAAACTGCACTCAGGCTACCACAAAAAGTAGTCAGAAAAAAATAAGTCTCCATATTTCCTTAGGATTTAGAGCAGTACTGGGTAGATTCTAGTAAACAAAAACAGAAATGAAGAAACAGGTCTCATTAAGTCACATCATATAACCTACTCAAACTGGTGACCCATTTTTGGCCAGCAGGTGCTGGCAGGTAGATTGGTATAACCCAACTGGCAGGTATACTGGGCACAGGAATGCCTGCTTCTAAGTCATTACTGGGCAACAGAAATACTAACTGAACATCCAGTGGCATTACAGACTTTCTGAACAGCATCCTCTACTTCATCTCTCAGGTCATCTTCAAAGTCAATTCCTTTTGTCTTGATCTTTTCTCTTTTATTTGATTCATCTTGACGAAGTATCTGAAACTAAAGGAACATAAATAATAATAATCATGGGATTCTAGCAAACTATGTTCAGAATCTTCAACATACGAAGATACTCTAATCTCAGAACACTCAAATATACAAGGGAAAAAATTTAGAAACAATCTTAAGAGACTAGCAATGACTAGGCTAAATTTTATACACACATTGAGATTTAGGTCAAAACAGAAGAAAAAAGAAAGGCCCAAAACCCAGGACCAAGCACTCAATGAGAATGGCATTAGAGCTGCTATGGTTTCTAGATATCAAAATTTTGGCAACAACTGCTGTTTCAAACAGCACACATTTGTTTCCAATAAACTCCAGAGCTGTGAGCTTAATTACAGAAGATGATCCTCTATACTCACACCAATGAGATTTTGCAGAAGAAAAATGATTGTCTTGAAGAAACATACATAGAACTTCCATCTGGTTCTCAGGCCTTATTTGAGCATCAGTAAGCTCTGCAGTAGGAAGCTCTTGTCTCAGCCGGACAGCCATAGGTAAGCATGCCTCACCTAGGCTCAGACGTGTACCACCACATTCAAGGGAGCCTGTCAACCCAAACTCTAAAGCCACAAACAGCAGTTCACTTAATGACCTTTACAATAGAAGCCTAAATCAGAAAAGCTAAATTCCTCCCTCCGTGGCTGCTCAACCACCTTCTCTTTCTGTTTCCAATTAATGTCAGGAGATAGGTAAATGGTCACTTCTGTTTTTGCATGTAGTATACTGAAGTCTAGCAACGTGCAGTACAGTTCTTAGAAGGTTTATACAAAACAATCTATTATAAACTTACAGGCCCAGTAGTTTCACAGCTTTAAAATACAGCCAAAGGAAATATATGTCAAATATAGAAAAGATTTATGTAAAAGTGTTTATGACAGTGTTTATGTATGGTGGTGAATAACCTAAAGGCTGTATGGTATAGGCATGGTTAAACAACTACTATAACCCACAGAATGATGTCTTCATTCCCATTAAACTAAGGAACACAGTAAAAGTTTTCAGTACCACCACCCACAATAAAGAAATCAGAAATATAAAATTAACAAGGGGGGGGGAAGTAATCAAGTAATCACTATGTAGATAACATAATCCTATACCTGAAAAAAAAAAAAAACCAAGAGAATCAACAAAAGAACAAGCTAAAAGAATTCTAGCAAATCATGTATTTGATAAGAATCTAGTATCTAGAATATATAAAGAACTCTTATAACTCAAAAACGAAAAGACAAAACCCAATTTAAAAATAGGCAAAGACTTGAACAGACATTTCTCCAAAGATAATACAAAAGACCAAAAACTACATGAAAAGATGTTCAGTGTCATTCCATAAGACAGTAGGATGATCATAAAAATAAATAAATACCAAGTGTTGGAGAAGATGTGGAGCAAGCAGAACACTCGTGTATTGCTGGTAGCAATGTAAAACAGTGCAGCCACTGTGGATAAGTTTGGCAGTTTCTCAAAAAGTTAAATTTAGAACTATCATGAGACTCAGCAATGCTACTCCTGGGAATATCCCCAAAGATTGAGAACAGGCACTCAAACAAATACTGACAGCAGCACTATTCTCGAAAGCCAAAAGCTGGGGACAACTCAAATGCCCATCAACTGGTCAATGGATAAACAAAATGTGATACATCCACATAATGGAACATTACTCAGCCATAAAAAGGAATGAAGGAGGATTCTGATTGACCAAGAGGCAATCTCTCAACCAATAAGTCAAGGTACTCACCACAGTCTGTAAGTCTGTGATGTTTTTTTTTTGGCCGGGGCCGGGTTTGAACCCACCGCCTCCAGCATATGGGGCCAGCACCTTACTCCTTTGAGCCACAGGTGCCACCCCTAAATCTGTGATCTTTACAGAAGCTCACTTCTCTTTCCACACAAGTGACACAGTTCTGTAACAGCAACAGAGTTCTGTGACAGCATCTCCTATCATCACCCTGGTCTACAGAAGGCCGACACCACTGAGCTTATCAGCAAGGCCAGTTTCCTCTGGGTTCCCCCATGCAGACATATGCAACCAACACCAGAAAAAAGAAAGCTGCTTTCAAGGGAAGGCTTCTCTAGGAGCATGACCTCGAAGCAGATCCTGCATGCTGAGGAGGAGTTTGAAGATCTGGGGACGAGGCCCTGAGTTGTTCCAGAGGTAGAGTCTACTCCAGCATCATTATCATCTTAAGAAGGAAAAAGCAGAGAGGCAGAGTGGCTAAATGATTTGGCCATGGGCATCCCACACCAACACTGGGCAGAGGCAAGATGGTCAACTGGAACCTGCTTTCCGCAGAGGCTCCCGTCCAGAAAGAGAGTTAAACGACAGAAGTTTAGCAACTAAGCTGACAGTTTGGAGCTGAGCCAAGAGAGAAGGTTGAAGAATGCACATCAACACTGCTGAGGCAAGCTGAGACCCCAAGGAAACAAAAAATAGCTGAGACTTCAACCCAGAGTTACTGATTCACTAGGATTGGACAGAGACCACCTGAAAACAAGACAGAGCCACTTAGCCCCACCACACCAAGGAGGTCCCCAGTGTCTCAGGCCATAGCAATGTATGGGTCCTTTCCAAAGCTCTAGGGGAAAAGGTACAAACACCAGTCCCAGCTCTTGGGCAAAGGGGTGGTTAATCACTACTCCAGGAGCCCCCAACCCAACTTCACCTTATCTGCTCATCTAGCCAAATGGTGTAAAATAATCATGGGGCAGAATCAGCAGAACTCCAGCAACATGAATAATCAGAGTAGATCAACTCCCCCAAAGAACCACATGGCAGACACACCAGAAGATCCCATTCATAAACAAATGGCTGAGATGTCAGAAATCAAATTCAGAATTTGGATTACAAATAAGATTAATAGAATGGAGGTAAAGCTGGAATTAGAAATTCAAGGATCAATTCAAAAGTTGTCTCAAGAATTCAATGAATTCAAAGACAAAATCACCAAAGATTTTGACACACTGAGACAAGAACTTGCAGCCCTCAATGATCTGAGAAATACAG